CTCCGGCTTATATACTGAAAAAGAGGGCGTCTAGCAAACGCTGGGACATTTGTGAAGTTGCCCCTAAGTCCCGATCTTTCTAGAAATTCCAGCGCACATGCTCCCAAGGTCGCGCAACTTTCGCTGTCGTAACAATACGTTTATTTATAGCATCGGATTGTCAGAATGCAATACATGTACATTGTCAGGATATTTGCCCAACATTTATATAACAAAGAAGAAAATCTCTGGAAAAGACAGAATGTTTTCAGATTTTACTATTACATCCTGCTAAGTATATCATAATTAGAGTAAACTCACCTGGCAGTTTTGTAATATTTTCCCCCAAAACACAGATATTTCAGACACATCGTGATTTTAAGAGAATCAAGATATACTATTATTGCTGGGTGTTAATTTATTTCCAGTTGTACAATATTAAAATACCTAATATTCACAATATATATACAATTAGCACATGTATCAATGTAAAAGATTTGTGCCAATTATAGAAACTATACTGAGGCTGATTTTTAACATCAATTCGTAGGTTCAAGTCTTTCTTATTTTTATTCACATTTTAGTAAAATTAAACTTGAAATTTGGGTATTTCTCTGTTCTTGTAAAAGAGAAAATATATATATCTTTATTCTTCATCCATTGTCAAAAACGATTAAAAAGAAAATACGTTGCAACCGGAACCGACTGTTAGTACTAACCTCCACCGCCCCCTAACAAAACCAACGAACAAAACAAAAATTCATCATCTAACAAAATCTATGAAACAAAACAATAATGGTTGTACTGTGTTTTGAACAAACAACAGGATTAGACCGGTACTACGTTCCATCGTCTTTGAGTTTGCTTCTCTGGTTTGCAGATTTATATTATACAATTAATCTATCTGTATCTTTACGTATTTTAATTTATTAAAATTAATCACATATTATACAAATTATACATTAAATCATTTTACAACGTTTTTAATTCTTTATTATGATTCTACATATTTAAATTTGTACTGTTTTATATTATAAATTATATTTCTAAATGTTAATAATTCCTGGCTTAAGAAATCAGCTCTAAATATTATATAAGGTTAAACAATTTTGAAGTTAAATGGGAGAATTAAACATATTTATATATGAAAAAATATAGTTTGGTACGTGTAATATAATATCACTGCAACATGTGTGATTAAAAGCATTGCACGTGTATATATATATTCCTACATATCGTTTGGGGGGTTCTTTGATAAAAATAATGCCAAGTTGTTCTAATTATCAGTAGGTTTATCGGCACGTAATTTCCTCGTAAGATGCCTGTTAATTAATTGTCAAAGTTCTTTTGTTTTTCCTTTTTCTTCTTATTTTCACTTTACTTTAGTTAGTAATAAATTAGTTTTAATTAAGAAAGGACTTGTTTCACCAAAGTTCCTCGGAAAGAATTTGTACCGGAAATTAACAAACGAGAAGATACCCAACAAATTGGTGTCAGAGAGTGGGAAAGAAAAAAAAGGGAAACGAGAAGTGGCAAATCAAACTACGACTCAGCAGATTTGA